GGACGATTTATAAAACATTAAGGGTAATTTATAAGATTTTTTAAAGGTTTATAAACATGATTATAACATGATTATAAACAATTTATAAGATTTTTTAAGGTTTATAAACATGATTGTCAATCAAAGAGAAACGATTTATAACTTAATTGTTAATCAATTAAGCTTGCTCAACGCCCTGTAATGTTAATCTCTTTATAAATATTTTTTAAGATTTTTTTAAGGTTTATAAAACATGATTGTAAATCAAAGAGAAACGAYAAACAWGTTATTACRTTAATTGTAACTCAGCGGATCCGWTCACAAAGAATCCCGACTCGGCAACGGAGGCGGATTTTGAATCAGCGACAGCGAATTCAGACTTCAACAGCAATTTTCCCAGAAAATTTGAGAGAGAGATCGAGATCTTTGTGTGAGAGAGAGATCGAGATCGCAGAGACATAAAAAGAGATCGAGATCGCAGAGAGAGTGAGAACGCGAGAGAGAGAGTGAGAACGCAAGAGAGAGAGAGAAAGAGAGAGATCGAGATCGATATCGCAGAGATCTCTCTGTGTGAGAGAGAGATCGAGATCGCATAGAGAGAGAGATCTGAGAGAGAGAGATGTGAGACAGTTTTTAAAAGAGGGTATTTTTGGAATATGAAAAAAATGAAGTGGCATTTTTGCAAAACTTGCAAAAAAAGTAGCATTTTGTACAAAGTGGCATGGGACATGTGGCATATCTCAAAATTTTTCAATAAATAAATAAAATACGCGAATGGTTGGTAAAACTAAGCGTAAAAGAGTGTATTTTTTACTGTTTGACTTACAAACCTATGGGATTTTTGGTAATAATAAATAAAAACGCGAATGGTTGGTAAAAGAGTGTTTATTTGACTTACAAAGAAAGTTTCAATTTCTTCAGCAACTTTTGTACGCATTTAAAGCGCCGACGAAACTGAAGAAGCGGAAAATACACGATTCTACTTTTTATCACTTTCAGATTCATTTCATTTTTACCAGATTTGTCTCCGGTGAGTTCTTTTCGATCATTTACCAGATTTGTCTAGTGCTTAGTTCTCAATTTAGTCAAAGAACGAGTCGTATCACGAG